AAATGGCTTTATATTGCTGTTCTTTGGACATTGGTTATTTGATTTTTCCAAGGGATTGATACACCGTACAAATTGTCATCCTTAGAACAGTGTTTATCTGTCATTATTATTTTTATTATTTTAGAAAAAATGAAATTTTATTCCATGAAACAAAATTTACAAGAAGCAAAGAGGATCAAACCAAATTGGCTTAATCCTTCAATACACTCTATAATCCAAAAATTTACATCAATGAAATTTCAAAAATCTCAAAATTGCAAAAAGGAAATTCAGATAAATTTCCTCTTCTTCCTCAGCAGCTAAAGCACTTGCTAGTCATACAATAACAGCAGCCTTGCCTGCACAGACTGATCTTGGATAAAACCAGATCGGACTCCAATTCAGAGCTCCAATCATCTCCAGCAAAGCAGCATATCAGCACTGCAGCACCATAGCTCAGCAGCTTAACAATGCAATATGGCAATGCTGCACAGCAGTGGAGCACAGCAGGTAGACCAATGCAGCACAGCAGTCAGCACCTCACAGCACCAGCTAAGCACTTTACTTGCTCTATCCAACACCAGTATCCTCCTTATACTCACAAACCAACTTCTTCTTAGTACGCAACACAGGGAGTCCCCTGCTATCCCGCATCAATACCATTCTGACTACAGCAGGCAGACAACCAGCACTAGACAGATCAGAAGAACATCTGTCCAGTACTGCCTTATTAGCTAGGCAGTCTGCTACCATATTTGACTCCCTACAAATATGCTTCAGCTGATACTCCAAATTTCCTAGTAACATCTTTATTTGATCTAAGAATCTCAAACAATGCCATATACAGCCACCTTTCCCCAACATAGCATTTACCAAAACAAGGGAATTTGATTCAATTAAAACTTTATTCCCCTCCAAACCATATGCCTTAATTGATTCCAACCCATCCAGAAGAGCCCTAAACTCAGCCACCATATTAGTTGCCTCCCCATAATAAAAGGAGCCAGCTAATACAACAACACCCCAGTCATTTCTCAGCACAACACCTCCACCTGCTGGCCCTGGGTTCCCCTTTGAAGCCCGATCTACATTAAGCTTAAGCCAACCACACCTAGGCCTTTCCCAACAAATCCACCTAACAAAAATCTCCACACAAAAAGACACCGTAATTTTGAGCCAGTATAAATGACTCCAAATCCTTCACCTTAGCTTTTACATTTCTCCCTAGATATCTCAAAATTCTACAGAGTTTAAGATAAATGGAGAACGAGTTTAAACAACCTTCCCCTGCCACCCTTCTACACCTCTCTTTCCAAACCTGCCAATAAACTAACAAATGGCATGCTTCTGACTAAACCATGAACAATAGATGACTTCTTAAAGATCCTTCCCAATCTCCTAAATCTTTCCAGTGGGCCCTCACCTTCAATCAACTGAAAACCCACCAGTCCAGCCAACCTTTTCCAAATAGCAAAAGTATAAGGACAACCAACAAATAAATGCTCAAAACTCTCAGCATGCTGAAAACACAGAGAGCATCTACTCACAATAGGAAATCCAAGCGTCTGCACATTTAAATCAACAGGAAGGGCTTCTTTCAAGATTTTCCACCCCACCAACTGAGCACTAGGGGTTGTTTTAACACTCCAAATCATAGAAGCAGTCAAATCCTTCTCCCCCCTCTGCCTACACTTTTGCCAAGCTGACTTAATTGAGAACATCCCAGAATTTGATCCCTGCCATATCAACCTATCAGGTTCACCATTTAACAACACACCAGAGTCCAAGACCTCCTGAATAAGTTGTTCAGATAACAATTCCTACACCTCCCCCAACCTCCATTGAGTATCTAAAACAAGGTCAGACAATTTAGGAAAAGACTGAGGAAGAACATCAACCCTAGTCAACAAAGGCCCATTTCCTAGCCAGTTGTCACACCAAAAGTTAGTGCAGCTTCCATTCCCACCACTACTTTAGATTGCCCCACCACCTTATCAAAATAGGGCCTCAGCATTTCACAACATTTAAAATGACTCCTCCCAAGATTTCTCAATACATGATTACCTTTTAAAAACTTAGCGGAGAAAACTTGAGCCCACAAAGAAGAACCTGTAACACTCCCCAAACCCGTTTCATTCTAAAAGCCACTTGAATCTCCTCAAACTTTCTCATACCCAGACCCCCTTCCTCCTTGGGCATAGTTACCTTTCCCCAGGATACCCAGTGCCTTTTCCTAACATCACCTTTGTTAGACCAAACAAACTGCGCCATGAGAGAATTAAGTTTATGCAACACAGCTTTAGGCAAGTTCAAACAGGCAATTAAATGAATAGGCACAGAACACAGTACATGCTGAACCAAAACCAACCTGCCCATGTTAGAAAGCAGTCTAGAATACCAACCTTCCAGTCTCTTTCTGAACTTCACAATAACCTCCTCAAAATCTCTTATTCTCATTCTTCCCTTGATAATCGGACAGCCCAGATAGGTAAAAAGACACTGCTTGAATGGTATAGCAGCCACATCAGTAAGAACTTGCCTCGTAGCTAGAAAAATATGCTTAGAACAAAACATAGAGCTTTTCAGCAAGCTCACCTTTTGGCCAGAACTCAGCTCATAAGCCTGAATGAAACCAAACAAATTCTCAAAAGACTGTTTATATCCCCTTAAAATGATCAAGGTGTCATCTGCAAACAGCAAATGACTAACCGATGTAGATCCTCTCTCTAAATGAAAACTTCTAACCAAACCATCCAAATACAACTTCCTTAAACCCCTACTCAGAACTTCTTCAGCCAATATAAACAGACAAGGAGAAATGGGATCTTCCAGCCTCAACCCCCTGGAAGTAGGAAAAAAACCAAATCTCCTTCCATTCACGCAAACAGAAATGAACTGATTATTCAAACAATTAGCAACAACTTTTAAACATAACTCAGAAAATCCAAACTTCCCCAAAATCTTCAATAAGAAATCCCACTCCAATCTATCATATGCTTTATCATATCAAGCTTTAGCAGTACATTACCAGCTTCAACTTTTCTGTCCAACTCTCCAACCATCAGCTGAGCCAGAGAAACACATTCACAAATGTTCCTCCCCTTCACAAATCCATGCTGCTTAGAAGAAATCAGACTTGAAAGCAAAGGAGTCATTCTAGAGACCAACAGCTTAGTAAAAACTTTATAAAGAAAATTACATAAGCGAATTTGCCTAAATTCAGCAAAAGATACTGGATTAACCTTTTTGGGAATCAAGGTTAACAAAGTTGCATTAACACACATTGGAACAATGCCTCCCTTCAGAAAAAAATTAACAGCAACAACCATATCAAATTTAATAACCTCCCAAGCAGCCTGGTAAAACTTACCAGACAAACCATCAGCTCTAGGTGCACTATGCACAGACATGGAGAAAACGACATCTTTCACCTCCTCCATAGTAGCCTCTTTCAAAAGCTCTTTATTAACCTCCTGATCCACCATCCTAGGAATCACAGAAATCATCTCCTCATCCACCACATGCTGCTCAGACAGATACAAATTAGAATAAAACTGCTCAGCTACCCTCCCAATGCCTTCATCAGAATGTACACAATCCCCATTGAGATTTTGAATTCTAGCCACCTTATTCCTAACTGCTTTACCTTAGCAAGAGTATGATAAAAATATGTATTCCTCCCACCCTCTACAGCCCATTGCACATTGGCCTACTGTCTCCAATATATTTCTTCCATTCTTAAAACATTATCCAACTCATTTTGAGCTCTTTCTAATTCCTGCATATTAGTCAAAGAGTCATCATCCTCATTCAACTCTTCTGCTCTCTTTACGGTAACCTCTTTCTTTCTGATTTCGTCAAAGATGTTGCCAAACACCTCTTTATTCCATAATTTCAAATGAGCTTTTAAGTACTTCAATTTCAAAAATATATTGTCCATGGGTTTTCAACATAACCACCACCCCATTTTTCTGCCACCAATGCTGAAAAACTAGGGTGAGATCCTCTATTTTTGACAATCCAAAACTTTAAGCAATAAAGGACAGTGGTCAGATTTCCCTCTCCCCAAATGACCACATCAGTTTTAGAAAATTTTAAACTCCAGCTTGTATTAATAAGCACCCTATCGATCCTCTGCCACATTCTGGTTGCACCATGGTGATTATTACACCAAATATACTTACTTCCAAAAAAGCCTCCATCAATCAACCCTGCCTCACTAATAAAATCTCCAAACTCCTCCACAGCAACCATAGAAAGAAAAGCCCCACCCAATCTTTCCTCAGAATTCAAAATAGAGTAAAAATCCCCAACCACCATCCAAGGGCAATTAACTAGAATTGGTAAACTCAATAAATGCTGCCACAGAGTCCTCCTTAAAACATGATCACAACATGCATAAATGACAGATGGAATCACCACATCAGTCCCTAGATAAGAAACCTCAACAGTTAAGGCTTGCTGAAAATGATACAAGACCTTAACCTTCACCCTATCATCCCACAACAACCATATATGCTTCTCAGCAAGATTATTAAACACAAAATGTGCTAAGTCCAAACTAGAGGCTAAAGCAGGTAACCTTCTAACCTGTAATTTAGGCTCTTGGATAGCAACCATACTAACATCATTCATTCTAATCAACTTTTTTAGCCTTCTTCTTGGAGCAGCCTTCCCCACTCCTCTAATATTCCAAGATAAAAAATTCATCATAAGAATCTAGAAGACATATTACCTCTAGACAGCTGTCTAGTAGAAGCCTCCAAAGAAGCTCCATTTGAAGGACTATAGTCTGAATCTTCAAAATTCCCTCTTCTATGCCCCAAACCAGACTCCAAATTCATGTTCACACTCTTAGAACTTCCACTATCCATAACATATCCCTTATCTGGTGGTTCAGTTCTTCTCACTAGACCAGACTCATCATCTAATACAACTCTAGATCCTCTTCTAGTAGAAAACTGACGATCAACAAGAAAGGAGGAGTTAAGAGACAAAGTGCCTTGTTTGTTAAGCATATCTCATTCCTGACCCTCCATTGGCAGCTCCCTTAACACCATGGAAGTGGATTGGTCATCACGAAGATCACCCTTCATATTCTGAACTATTTTCTTATTCCCAACATTTAGAGCCTCATAATTCAACTCATCATCTCCTTGTTGCAACTGTACTGACAAATCCACAACACTCTCTTCCTCCACATTAATAGCCATATTTACCTCATGACTACACCCATTACCCTCCATCATAACCCCCTTCTTACTTACCTCATCATCCCTGGAAGGCACCAACACCTCCACAACAATTAACCCAATCTGCTCCAGCGAAACACCTTTTCCCTTTTCCAAACACCAGCTAGCTTGGTCCATCCCCTCAGACAAAGGATTTTGCAAACTACATTGTCCCTTATCAGGACATTCCACAAATCCCCCATTCTGCAGTTGATCCCCATTTGCATCCATTAAGACAAAAAATATGTTCCCCAAATCTTGATTTGTTTCAATAGTCTTTTGCCTGAATTCCTTCCTTTGTTTCACTTTTTGCCCCTCTTGCAACACATTCTTCCCCTTATTATTTTTTCGGCCATTTCCAGGATTATTATCTTTCACAACACTAGCCAACTTCTCCACATCAACCACAACACCCTTACCTTTCTCCATCTTCTCTCCCCATTTTGCTCTTTATCAGATGACTTCACAACACTCTGAACACCATTAATCTCACCACCCTCCTTCTTCTTTTTCCGACAACTCATAACATCATGCCCTTGTTTTAAGCAAGTTGAACAGTACTTTACATTTTTTTCAAAGACAATCTTTTGCATTTACCACTCACAACCCCCTTGTCTAACCAAAACCTCTTTGGGTTCTCAGCCAGCAAATTAACTTCCACACATGCTCTAGCCACCCCTGGCCTGGTTAACTGCAAAGTAGCTTTGTCAATAACCAGAATTCGACCAACAGGACTCAAGATATCCCTTAAACTCTCCTTGTTAAAGAGATGAATTGGAAGACCTGGTAACGAAACCCAGACAGGACTACATGAGGCTCAATCTCAGGAAAAAACTTTGGGAACCATTTAAAAAATCTAAAGAGAAATCCCTCGATATACGTCGCATCCTTTAGCCACGCTTTAACATAATCTTCATATAGCTCAAATTGAATCAATATATGTCGAGGATCCAAGATCCCAACATGAAACTCACCTTTGGGCATCCAATGCGTAATTATAAACTCTCGAATCACCCCAGCGATGGTTTCCCATACACACAATTTCCAATTAGAGTCTGATCAAACTTAGCAGACAAATCCTGAGTTTCCTCTGCTGACCAGTACATTCCTGGTTCACTGTTGTTATATATCACTCTTTTTGCTACTTTAGTACCACTTATCGCAGACACTAGAAGCTTTTCAGATTCTCGCACAACTCCGGGCAAGTAGGTGAAAGTACTCACCAGTTTCGAAGAATCTAGAAAAACCCCTTTCTCTCGATCGATAGAAAAAGGTTTACCAATCCCAGCAAATTGAATTGATGCAAGATCTTGACCAATTAAGTCAAGTCGAACAGCCAAATGATCTGAATTAGACGAAGAAACATTAACATTCGATATTCCCTGACCAATCGAAGACATTCGAACAGTTGAAAGGGAATTGAGTAATCAGGGGACTTTGGGTAATCGAAGGAACTTCGACAATCGAAGTATTCTGAATAGATGAAGGAATATTAGGAGGCATTATAAGATTTTCCACTTGATCAGAACAAATCTCAGACGATGAATTATCATTTCTAAATTCAAAACCAATATCCGAGTTGCTGGACAGTTTTCCGCCATTTAGCGGATTCTTAAATAAAGAGGCAAAATTCCGAGTGATGTCAGGTGGTTTGGGTGGAATTGGACGAAAAGATTGATCAGAAATCATGAATCAATTTGTTAAGAACAGTCAGATCTCTCAGAACAAAACAAAAGATTAGAAAGTCAAGAAAATCCGAAGGAAAATTTCTAGAGAGAAGTCAGCTTCTCTCTCTAGAACTGAATAACTGCCTCTCAGTCCAAGAAGTCAGAGTTTATCTGTCATTAGTTTGTCCATTCCGCCCCCCTGCTAACCTCCTAATCTTGGATTTTTGGTTTGTTTAAAAGTCAAGCTCAAATGATGTTATTCTTGTTGATTGGTAACAGTTTATTCATTCTCAATGAAATAGCTACTTCATGATTATTATGAATAAGCTGGTTAGTCTTATGCTTTGTGTGTTCTATAATCAATGCAGAATGCTATGATTAGCAGCATTGTGCATGTGACAAATCTGCCTCGCAAAAGAGTAGTGAAATGGTTTGAAGACAAACGTGCTGAAGCTGGGGTTCCTGATCATCGCCCCCCTTACGAGCAGTCCAATTCCGAAACTGTTACCGTTAAAGACTATATTGTGGTGTGTATTCAAATATTGCTTTATAATGGTATCTTTTATAGAATTTCCCATATATATTTTCTTCTCTTTCTTTGTTCTAGGTTTTTTATTAGACTAACTAACACCTACTTGCTTACTAAGACAAATTAATTGAATTACAGAAATAAATATGTAGCTCCAGGAGATTGAGTCAGCTTCCGAGGCACCTCAGCTTTGTTTTCCATAGAATATTATCTCCAAATAGCTTGTGTCCCTTTAAGCTGACTCAAACTAAGCAGGATATGGTGCTCTAATGAGGTAGAGTAGTGCATGACAGCCACAAAACTTTAGGAGCAGTCGACAGACTTTCAAAGGCAAATAAGCACATCTTATGCGAG